AGGACACACTATTTCAATAATAAAATGCCATATTTAATGGGCCACTTCAATGTTTTAGCATATCAAAAATATTTTGAAACATTAAAAAACCAATGTTGATTGTCTAACCAGGTTAAAAGGAAGAATAAATTATGTTTTAGATATCATTGTACCATTGGTTTCTATGCGAACTAAAATTTTGAAATGCATTTTTCTCAGAACCATTTTCATGCACTGATAAGTTCATTTCTCGCTTATTTATGAACCGATTTTCTTAATTTTTTCGGCAAAAAACATGGGGGGTGAATGCTATGCATTGGAATGAATTGTGGCTAATTAAAAGATACGAGTGGACTCTAAAAGTTGGTTTTAAATAATTTTGGAACAAAAAGTCTACAAAAACCAATTTTTGAAAGAAAAAAAAGTTTAACATATCACACTTTGATAACATTGGGTAAGACTACAATATAAGCCAAAGTGGTTAAAACTTTATATGGGGCCTTTAAAAAATAAATCAACTTTTAACGATTTTTCACGTTGTTTCAATGGGGATTTAGCCTGACTTTTTTCAGAAAAGTTCAGAATCCTTGGAAATTGATTAAAATGAAATAACTGTTTACTATTAAATCGAATGTCTTCTCATAGAAAATACACAGTGTTCAAATATGTCATAAATATATAAGCACAAGTGCCAAAGGGAAAGGACCAAAAGTTGTAATGGAACTTAGCAAGAAAAAACCCCCACCATTCAAGAACCAATATCACAATCCAAGACCAGAAGACCAAGGGACATTTCATTCATACTGAAGTCATTACAATACATGTTGATAATAGAAGAAAGCCTGGCAGAATTATTTATTAGTTTGTTTTCTTAGTTTAATTTGCATATGATATGTGTGTATTTTTATTTTCAATACTGTCACTTATGCCTTTTTATGCTTTTTTTAGGCAAACTTATTCAGAATCCATCAAGTGTTGCAGGGAAATAGCATATATAAGGGTGATCACAATGATTTTTATATGAACAGATTCAGTATTGAGTTCCTGTCATGAGAACAAATGTCCCATCATGGATGCTTTTAGCAGATAGCGTCAATAGTTCAGATCAAATTCACCCATGCTGAATTAATGCAGTTATCTGTAGCAAACACAAGACACAGATTCTAGCATCAGGCTATTTCTGCACATAGGGGATTGGTTCTTTTTCACCAGATGTACCCTTATGTAGCTTTAAATGAACTTTTTCATGGCACTAATCATGCTGGATACCCAAAAAGCAAAGGAGGTCAAAACAATCATGTATTCTTACATTTAGAAAGGAGTGCCTAACCTTTGGTAAACTATTTTGAGTTCAGCGAACTTCTGTACACTGGGTTCCTTCAATTGGTTCATCAATTATTCTTCTCCTTAGGGGAAAAAAATTGGGAGAAAATTAAGTCAATACCATACATGCAGATTTCCTGTTCAGAAATACAGTGAAATAGAAGTCTGTAAGTTACAGTTCTGTGCTTGTTGTTTTCTTGTTGTAAAACTATAGATTTATAGTAATTTGGATAATATAAATGTATAGCTCTAATGGCAGTCAGTTATAAAGTAGGTAGTAATCTACAAAGAAATCTACTAATCTACAGAGAAAAATACAAATCACTGGGAAGACTTTCTCACAAAGAGAACATTTGAGATTCAGTCCCATTTTAAGTCTAGATTTTCCAATAGAAAATAAGAATACCACCATCTTATATATTTATGCAACCCTTTAATGTAATTACTCTCTCAATATAAAGATGAAGATTTAATGGTTTGTTTTGAAATGGAATCAATTATAGCTGAGAGTTGCTTTTTCATCAATTTGTTTGACATTACTAATTGTTTCTTTAAAAAAAATTGTTTCTTTAAAAAAATTTTATTGTTAGATCCTTGTTTTTATATATTTTATATACATGTATATGCATGTTACTTTACACTAAAGAAGACATTTATTTATTTTCTCCTTTACTTTCCAAGATGGTGAGAACAAATACCAGTGCGCCACCTATATATCACAATCATAACTGAAACACAATGCACAATCAACATGATGCAATGTATCTGACATGATTTATAGACCCATTACAGCCACTCACATTTATAAATGACAAAGTTTGCAATTATTAATATTTCTCACTATTTGAAGGACTGTATCTGGTCTGTAGCAGCCAATATATGATTCCCGAAGACAGGAAAATGATCAACTTATTTCAGTGATTGATGACATTTGAAATTCCCCACACGCTTTAGTCATTTGAAGGTCTAGGCTAATTAATCCTGCGGTCATTTCCCGTTTACTTTCTCTGAAGTCTCTTGATTAAAATATTGTCCTTGTATTTTGTCATTACACTAACAGCAAAACCAGTATATCTGAACACCTCTAATCCAAACATCTCTCAATGAACACTTTTACTCAGTTCTAATTTTGATATCTCCCATTTACTTACATAAAAAGAATCGTTGACATACATGAACACCTTGTAAACTGAACACTACAAGTCCCTTTAGTGTTTGGATTAGACATTTTTACTGTGCTTGGATTTTCAGTCTTGTAAGCATAATAGGGACTCAAATAAGATGAATTACACTCTTAGGTATTGTATCATTCACTCCAAGATATTGTATCATTCATTGGCTAATTATAAGCATTATTTGATTAATTACGAAGAGATGATAGGTTCGTCGACATGAACTGGTATAATTAGAATGAATAAAATGAACGTCCTAAAGGGTCTGCTGTCAATTACTGAGTGCAGTTTGGCAGTGAAGATAATTAGAAATAACCCGCGCTGCGTCAAAAAGAGATGATACAACGGGGGTGTTTGATGTTATTGCCATTATGAATTGATAATTTGAGATCAGGTGGTGGGTTAATTAATGTGTGGTCCCTCAGCCAAGTTAGTTGAAGCTGTATTTGTAAAAAATAATATCAAGGCCAGGGAGATTTCATTGTATGTTTGGCATCCTTTAGCCTGTTGTATCTGTTACTTTTCTGCACTCATTACCACAGAGAACTGATGGCATTGACTCACTGCCATAGGAGGTTGATTAGATATGGAATAATATATTTTCATGTTATTGCAGTTTTCATCAGTAGAGGAATATATAGCATATAATGCTTACACCGGGTTTTATATTATTATAGCTACTATCTTGTTATAAGTCTTTCACTACATTCTCCTTGTCAGCAGTGATGTTATGTTTTTCAATGGACTTAACCAGTTATGAGGCAGGCAAGGCAATTTCAAAATTTTACAGCAAAATATTGCCTTTTTACCTCAATTTTTGCCTAAGTCTACTATCTCAACTTTACAGATTCTGACTTAGCATGCCTCTTGTATCTCTGGTTACCCCAAATCTATATATTGTTACTGAAATAGGTTTTGTGGCAATTACAATGGAATTTGTCAGAATTGCAATAGAATTTGTGGGAATCCAAATGGAATATGTAGGAATTACAATGGATTTGTGAGAATTGCAATAGATTTGTGGGAATCCCAATGGAATATGTAGGAATTGCAATGGATTTGTGAGAATTGCAATAGATTTGTGGGAATCCCAATGGAATATGTAGGAATTACAATGGATTTGTGAGAATTGCAATAGATTTGTGGGAATCCCAATGGAATATGTAGGAATTACAATGGATTTGTGAGAATTGCAATAGATTTGTGGGAATCCCAATGGAATATGTAGGAATTACAATGGATTTGTGAGAATTGCAATAGATTTGTGGGAATCCCAATGCAATATGTAGGAACTACAATGGATTTGTGAGAATTGCAATAGATTTGTGGGAATCCCAATGAAATATGTAGGAATTACAATGGATTTGTGAGAATTGAATAGATTTGTGGGAATCCCAATGGAATATGTAGGAATTACAATGGATTTGTGAGAATTGCAATAGATTTGTGGGAATCCCAATGAAATATGTAGGAATTACAATGGATTTGTGAGAATTGCAATAGATTTGTGGGAATCCCAATGAAATATGTAGGAATTACAATGGATTTGTGAGAATTGCAATAGATTTGTGGGAATCCCAATGAAATATGTAGGAATTACAATGGATTTGTGAGAATTGCAATAGATTTGTGGGAATCCCAATGAAATATGTAGGAACTACAATGGATTTGTGAGAATTGCAATAGATTTGTGGGAATCCCAATGAAATATGTAGGAATTACAATGGATTTGTGAGAATTGAATAGATTTGTGGGAATCCCAATGGAATATGTAGGAATTACAATGGATTTGTGAGAATTGCAATAGATTTGTGGGAATCCCAATGAAATATGTAGGAATTACAATGGATTTGTGAGAATTGCAATAGATTTGTGGGAATCCCAATGAAATATGTAGGAATTACAATGGATTTGTGAGAATTGCAATAGATTTGTGGGAATCCCAATGAAATATGTAGGAATTACAATGGATTTGTGAGAATTGCAATAGATTTGTGGGAATCCCAATGAAATATGTAGGAATTACAATGGATTTGTGAGAATTGCAATAGATTTGTGGGAATCCCAATGAAATATGTAGGAATTACAATGGATTTGTGAGAATTGCAATAGATTTGTGGGAATCCCAATGAAATATGTAGGAATTACAATGGATTTGTGGGAATAGTTAGTTTTTATTTATTTGTGAAGACAAAGTACAAAACTTAATTCATTTAGTTATTTTTAGATTTTTGAGGATGAGAGAAAATATTCAACATGTAATTGTTTTGAAGATGAAGCACTTTATCTCATAAGGTGTTAAAATATGAAACACTAAGAGAATGTTTGTACTTGAAATTAAAAGAAGTTATTCCTAGTTTTGATTCTGATGACCCAGATATTTTAAAAATGTTAATGGCTATTCAACACTTAACTGTTCAATTACACATTGGAGAATTTATATATCATGGATTCTATCTCAGTGCCACATATATTAAATATATATTTTTAAGTTTTATCATGTTTACTTTATCTTTATATTTTCAGATTTCCTTCGCAAAGATGAGGAATTTATATTACGTTTCCTTCGTGCTAGGAAATTTCAGACGTTTGAGGCATTTAGGTTATATGCAAGATATTTCGAGTATCGCCAACACAACAAAAACTTATTTAAAAAATTCCACGCATCTGAGCCTGGGATAAAAGAAGCTTTATACGATGGATTTCCCGGAGTTTTGCCACAGACAGATCATAATGGCCGCAAAATTCTCATCCTTTATAGTCAAAATTGGGACAACGAGAGATATGGACTCGCTGCAATTTATCGGGCAATTTTATTAACACTGGAAAAACTTATAGCCTGTGAGGAAACCCAAATTAATGGATTTGTACTGATTATAGATTGGAGCAATTTTACCTTCAAACAATCAACATGGATTAACCCTAAACTGCTCAAGCTTATGATTGAAGGATTACAGGCTAGTATATTTAATGTTAGTCATGTTTGTAGGGTTAATTAGATGGCCTCATTTGTAGTCATGCATCAAGTCTATTAGGTTTTCCCCCTATCAACTGTCTGGAGAGGGGAGGGAGGGGGAGAGAAGACCAGGTTTCGAAACTGTCTGACTGCCAATAGCAACCATTTTTGATTTTGGCAATGAACTTGGAAAAACTGGTTGCCTATTGGGCAATGGACTGAATGCCAATATTTTAAATTGGGTTATCATGTTTATAACTGAAGTCGTGAACCCTGTGCATGAAATTTATTTCCCTTTTTATGACACAGCAAGAAGTGGTGACATATTATTGTGGTGACTTTGTTATAGTCTCCAACTTTTTTGTGGATTGTGTTCGGCCTCTATAACAATTGTAACTTATTATGCATCTGTAACAAATGGCAGGTGAGACACAATGCATGTAAATACTTTGTTAACAGTTTGAATTTGCTTCTTAAAAATTGAGTTCCATCTTCTGGTACTTTGCTCTGACTCTCAGGGTATCATGTATAAGATGAAGTTTTCTCATTTTAGTTTGACTACTTCCCCCTTTAAAGCCCTTAATATGTGTGCACATATAGATACTGGAATTCAAGTGTTTTTAAGAAATATGTTAAGTGTATTGAATGTATGTTGCTAATTGTCTGTGTAGGATGTCATATGAATGGGGTAATTTTTCCAAGATCTTTTCGCTGGCATGGACCACCCCATTGGCCCCCTTGTAAATCTTGTTGCCACTTTGTAAATATTGTAAAATCTTGGATTTTCCTGTGATGATTGAATTGAATTTGGCTACGTTTAGTTCATTGAGAGATGATAGCCTTACTTAAAGATTTACAAACAGAATGATGAGTTGAGTATGAGAATGCACCTAACCGTAACTCTTGAAATTAACCTTAGAAGAATCTGTTAATGTTTGATATAGATAATATAGTTTGCTGCTGCTGTCAGACAGATACAATTTCTATGGCTTTTAGGGATTGTTTGATATTTAGGGAATTCTTTAAATAAAACCTCACTGAACTATTGAGTTCATCTATGTAACTCAATTCTTCCTGTTTTAACAAATAGATCCTTAGAATGTATATGGAGTACTGTATTTTTATGACATATTACATACATATCGTATATGCACAGCCATGCACAGTATATCTTAAAGGTATTTCCTAAAGACCATCTGTCACATCCTTCTTGGGAACCCCATGAGGTCCTTCATCATGAATTCTGACAAAACATTGCATAAAACTGCATTATTGAGTTCTTGTTGAAATAATTGTTTTATATTTATTTTATACTTCTAATATTATAGAAGGGGATGTGAGGGGTGGTGCTCTCAGGTTGCGCTTTTGCGTTGGGGTTGGGGGGGTGATTTGGGATGCTATTTTTGCCATGGATGACCGATGGCTGACAATATTCATGAGTACAAAAGTGCAGAGTTCCTTATAATTGATATCAATTCTGCTGTTGACAAGTGTTAAGTAATTGGCTGAGATTATAGCAGAAGAAATCAAACTTAATGCATAGATGTGCCAGAAATCAATGTCAATCTATATTGATGCAAATGAGATAAAACTGGATTAACAAAAATGAATGAGGCTTTTAGGCAATGTAAAAAGAAACAATTGGAAATATTTTTCATTCTAGATATCTATAGGTTAATAGGTTAATAGCTATATAATGAAGAAAGCCCTCAGGAAGGAAACTTAAGGATGTTTAGCTTGATAATTTTCTCAGAAATGTTTTTTAAATTATCTAGTACTGGATTCAATTCGCATTTCAGAAAACAATAACAAAGAGCCCCAATATTCCGGTCTTATTAAAACACCCTAGAAGTGATAAGCTAGAATCTAGCTTTATCGAGTAAGGAAAATGATCAGATGGCGACTCGATGGGACATTTTCTATGTTGTTCCACCGAGCCCCATTGGACTCCATGATACAGTACCTCATAGGGCAAAGACCCATCAAGTTGATGGCAATGTTAAAAGGGGATTCCCGATGGTGTACATTGTTATAAACTCTCTCTCATGACCCCTTTTATTTATATTACAACATGTCTAAGCTAAAATTACAATCGAAGATAGCTGGATAGACTGACTATGCCGTGTCATTGTCAACTCAATGTCCCATTGTCAACTCAAGATAGATGTCAAAACAGCTCTTTTTATTATTAATGATTGCCATTGCACATGGAGAAAGGAGAATTATATATTAAATGAAGAGTTATATAAATGTGCACTATTTTAGTAAATTAGTATCTAAAGTCAGTTGCCTTTTAGTATAATGATAGATTCTGTATATTTGTTCATACAAGTATAATATCTGACATTTTATCAGATATATATAATGCTAAAAATGCCATTTGTCACAGTGAATGGCATTACTGAGGGTCAGTTTAAAGATTTTTCATTCTAAAAGTTTAATGATAAAATTATTTATGAGTTCCACATTCAAATCGTTTGGTTTAAGGTGATATAGAGGAACATCTTTCGATCAAAACGGCGCACCTAGCGATATTGAATCATACAAACGGTCAGTGAATGGCACTTATGTTTTCTGAAAATATGAAACAATTAACTTTGATATGCACATATATGTATTAATTATTTACATTTACATGTACATGTGTGCTATTTTGTTGAAATTTTATATGTGCCTACTTACATGTAGAAGCATATTACATTTTCTGATAACAATTCGGCTATAGTGAGAAACCATTTTGAAAATGGTAGCCATTTTTGTGTGCTATAATATGATTTTTACTATATACTTTGTTTGTAAAAATGCCAGCCATGGCTGTTCAATGGGATTTGCTACGCTTTGGCATTGCTGTTGTCTACTTTCAGGGTGTTTAATTTAATTCAATAAGATAACATGAATAAAGATGGATATGTCTTGGATCAGTGCACCAAGTTTCAACATGTCATTTGGTCAATAATGTGTAGAATTTTAAGAAATAAACTCAACACTCTCCTGCCAAGACTATCTTTTGTAGGATCGTCCTTTCCTTACTCAATTCCACTAGATTTTAGCTTATCACTTCTTCCAGGTTGTAAATATATCCAACACTTGGTGAAATCGATAAAATAATATATAAAAATATGTTTTATTTTCGGATATTTGTGTAAAAAGATGCGTAATAATACAGTATTTCCATTCAGTATTGTAATTATTATATTATATTATGAAGGAAAAAAATATAATCAGCATAATATACTACATTATATAGAGATTAATATAATATAATTAGAAATAAGTGAGATCCAAATATATTATTTGTACATATAAACATTTACCAAATCCGATTATCTCAATAAGAAAATGTAGCAGAATGTTTTATTCCCGGTATAATATTCTTTTTTAGAATTATTTGCGCCAATTTATATTTATTCTGTCTTTCTAAAATATTATTTGGTCATATTTATCAATCCAAACTGATAATTGCAGTCTATTTAGATTTTTTTCTATTCTAAAACTTATTATTTTCTAGTATTTTCCAATCTAAGCAGAATATATCAAATTATATTGTATTATTTGGGTTCTAAAAAATATTATACTCGATTATTCTCGTCAAACTTGATGTACAATCCATCTGGTTAATTACTTAACCAAACAAAACAAAGAATGCACAGCATGGCACTTAATAGGATTAACCGTTCTACTGGCCCTCTCATCTCTATTACTTACACATGTCACACATATTTTATTTTGACTGTTCTATTTCTATTTGAAAAATAAATGTTTAGAAGAAAGAAATTTAACTTGTTTTAAATTAATGTTAACAATGGAGTAAAAATGTGAAAAAGTCATCAATTAAAAATCAAATAATTAACTTTCCAATGAGTTAATCGATTCAATCCAAATTTTAACACAATGTTAATCATAGAAAGAGGGATTTTATACAATTAAACAAATATGAAAAACTTAATTTGCAAATTATTATTTTTATGGAAAATAAAACAATCGGCTCTAGATATTAATCCATTCACTCTAACAAACGGATTAACTCTAACAATCGGATTAGTTATCAGTGAACAAAACTCATTTCATAGAAATTGAAAAAACTTATAGAGATTAAAGTATTACTTATATTGCTCTGTCATCAATACATGTACATGTATGTGAATGGTGAAAATCTTCATGATTTTGAAAGAATTGTTGGCCAAGGGGAGGGGATCGTTACTCGTTAGGTACGGGCCTGTATAAAATGCGTAATGTTTTAGCTAAAATTTGAGCAGTTCTGTGTCAAGACTATTTTTGTGTTTGGCAGAGTGAATACGGGTGGTTGTTTGTGCCTGTGTAAGAGTGGCCCTTAAATGTTGTTTGTTGTTAACTTTATATGGCAGAGAAACAATGGAGTAAAAATGTGAGGAAACCCATTGATTAAAAATTAACTTTCCGTTGAAACAATCAATTTAATCCAAATTTTAACACAATGTTAATCATAACATAAGGGACATTATAGAATCAAATAAATATGAAAAACTTGGTTTTTAAATTATTTTTTTGTGGAACTTAGAACTGTTGGCTGTAGGAAATTAATCCATCGCCTTTAACAAACGGATTAGCTTTCAGTGTTAACAAAACTCATATTGAAGAAATTGAATAATTGGGGATTAAAGTTTTACTTATCATATTGCTCTGACATACATGAACTGTATGTCAACATGTTATTTACATCAGTTTGTTCTACCATGCACCAATTTGCTCAAAGCGTAATCATCGCTATGTCAGATGAAACATTAGGAATAAATGTAAAATGTGCCCGCTTCTTTATTTTCATTATCAAACAACTAAACATACCGAATATACATTTGGAAATGGAAAACAAAAAATTAATTAAAACCAGCTTTAATTAAAATGGTCCAATTGTAGTAGAAACAAATGTATTACATCATGGACTAATCTGTTGTTTATATCCCCAGTTTATATCTCAGATATATGGATAACAGAAAACGCATGAATTGTGAAATGTGAGAGAAT